TGTCACTTTCACGGGCGCTGGAAGTAACAACTTCAAGGTGCCTCCTAGGGCCATCTCAAGTTGAAAGAACGGGTTTGTAGGTGGAAGTTAAAAGGACCGAGAGGGCGAACCAACCGTGCACAGATGCAGCTACATGTAGTCGCGAGCTCACAGAGGGTAGCGGGACAAAGCTCGTTTTGTGCAGCTCCAGCTGTTGAAGTTAATTGCGATGGCCAAACGGATCCCCCGAGCAAGCACGTGACCGAATCGAGCGCCTAAGGGGGCCCGCTCAAGCAAAGCAGGGAGGCATTCGCCTCCCTTTTCATCGTTCCCCCTCCTCCACATCATCTTTTTTCCTCCTCCTCATCCTCCCTCCTTCTCCTTCCTCCTCATCCTCCTCGCTCCTCCTCCTCCTCCTCCTCCTCCTCCTCCTCCTCCTCCTCCTCCTCCCTCCAAAATGGCCCCAGAAGGCCCCCAGAAGCCTCCGAGACGCCCCCAAGAGGCCCCAAGAGTCCTCCATGAGGCTCCCAAGACACCCCCAAGAGGCACGCAAGAAGCCCCAAAAGGGCCCCCTAGATGCCCCCAGTAACCCTCCAAGAGGCCCCTCAGAAACATTTCCAGGGCCCCTCACACGCATCCAAGAGGCTCCTGACCCACTAGATACTAGAGAACCTACACGATCGTCGCAAGCACGCGTTCCTTCTGGGGGTCGGCGGAATGGCGTAAACCAACTGAATAAGACGAAGCATACGTAGCAAAGACTCGCACCTCGCCACGGCACCCCGACGTAGCTAGGCCCATTCAGAATGATTCTGCGCTGGACCTCCCTACTCTCCTCCTCACCCTCCTCCTCCTCCTCCTCTCCTCCCCCCCTCCTCCTCCTCCTCCTCCTCCTCCTCCTCCTCCTCCTCCTCCTCCTCCTCCTCCTCCTCCTCCTCCTCCTCCTCCTCATCCCCCTCCCCATCCTCATCGTCCGCATTGTGGCGGAGCGATGTTTCTCCACGAGTGCCTGCCGCCAGCGCCCCCGCCAGCGCGGGCTGTTCTTCGGAGCCGAGTCGCTCCCCGTCTCGCCCAGGCCAGCTGCTGGCCGTTGCGGGCGATCGCTGAAGCAGGTCACGCCTGCGCCTCCTGCTGCTTCTTGGACTTCCCAAACTTCTTGATCTTCTTCTTGGTGGGGTCGGCCGCCTGCTCCGCCCCCGCTCCCGCGCCGCCGCTCACCGTGGACATGGACAGCTCGCTCTGGCTCTGGATGTCAATGACCTCCGTGCTCTGGCACTTGTCCGCGGGCGCGCCGCCCTTGCTCTCAAGCACCGCCTTGAGGCCAGCTGGCAGCGACTCCAGCTTCACTCGGAGCGTGTTCGAGACGTAGCTCGATAAGTCGGCGATATTCTTCCGCAGCCCATCCTTCTCGTTGGTGGTGGCGGCAATCAGCAAGCAGGCCTTGGGCACAAGGCAGCAGCACGCCAGGAGCTTGGCTGCCGCGCTGGCGTTCTCCTCGTAGGTGCCAACCTTGCTGTTGAACTCAACGATGGCTCTAGCCTCCTCGTCTGCCCAGCCCTGCATGCGGTCTGGGAGCTGCGCGCATATGTTCTTCCAGGTCAGCAACTGGCTTGCCACGTTGTGCACGGCCACGCCGAGCTTGTCGGCCTTGCCGCTCTTCTGCTCGACGAAGAGCTCAGGGAAGGACGAGAAATCCCACTTCTCGATCGCCTCGTACATGCCACCGTACTTCGCGACGAAATCGAGCATCATGTCCACCTGCTTGATCTTCTCACTGAACGCCGTGTACATGGAGGCCCAGTCCTCGCGGATGATCTTCACGTTGCGGGTGAATCCAGGCCGGACAGAGCAAGTCGTAGGATGATGTGTCTCGGCCGCCTTCGCGAGCTGCATCGCGATCGTCAGGTCAAGCAGTCCGCTCGGCGATTTGCCTTGCTTTCTCCTGGCCACAGCATCTTCCACCCTCTCGATCGCGTCGCTCGTCATGGTCAGCTGCTTGAGCCCTTCGGGTAGCTCGCCTGAGAACTGCCCAAGCACGTCGACAAACTTCTTGGAGTCGCCCTTGCCGATCGCGTTGGACATAACTGATAAGATGCTCGGGCCAATGCTGAGCCCGTCGACCATGTTGAGGAACCTCACCATCGCAGAGTAGTCAACGCTGATGCCCTCGACATTGCACTCTATGCGGGTGGCGCTGTCCTGGCTCAGAGCGGCGGTGACCGCCTTGGCCGAGAAGCCCTTGGCCTTGGACCATGCTGCCACTAAGGCGCCGACGGCCTCCTCCTATTTATGATCGGCAAGGGACTCCTTTAGACGAGATTAACTGCGCCATGATATTTTAAACCCTGGCGCACCCTGCCCTGACCTCCTGAGCGCCAGTGGGAAGCCCGTAGGAACTCAACGTGTCGAAGAAATGCATCGACCAGAGTGCAAGATGTCCAGGGGCGACGCTGTATCTTCTGCAGGGCACGCATCAGGGGCATCAAGCACATGAATATCATAATTCGAAGCCTCGGGATTGAGGATGCTTGCGAAGAGTCTCTCGAAGGAGCAGTCGGACTCGACGGCCGCCCAGACCGCGACTCCCGCTAAGAAGTGCATGAACTGCATATAACTTTGCAACGTGACGGGGGCGCTCTTTCATCTCGGACTCCTTTGCCTCGGAGGTCGCCTCGGATGCCTCTGAAGACTTCTCGCAGTCGCCGAACGTATTGCCGAATTGCTTGATCACCGCCAGAAGGTCAGCATCTTGTACTAAGTCGCAAACGGTATTAAACACCTGAACCTCATCAACGAAGCTGCCTGCGATGTCGTTGGCGACCTCCATTTTCGCCAAGTCATCCCCCTCGCACATGTTAGTCATCTTCGTGTACTCCTGGTGCATCGCCACCGCTTGATCCCATGCATCCTTCCCGAACTGGACCGTCAAGCCGCAAATCGAACGAGTGTGCGCCCTCAGCCGAGGGCTCATCCTATGCGCCGACTGGACAACGGCAACGCACAGCATCCTCAAGTCCCTGCTGGCAATGCCGTCCCTGCTGGCGGCGTCGATGAGCATGCCGAGAACACGAAGGACGTAGAGGTCGACCCATGCCTGAGGATACCAGCCGTTCGCCAGCACGGTCTTGCTCTTGGTGTCAACGGACTCGATCGGGGCGCTTTCCAGCTTGGGCAACTGCTCGTGGAAGGTCATGGCGATGCGCGCGAGGGTCTCGCGATCCGTGGACCTGAAGATCTTATCGGCCAAGCCCAACACGACGCCTTTTTGAACATCGGCGACGTCCGCCATCATGGCCTCGCCTCCCTGGGGGGAACTGCGGCGCGGGGAAGGTCATCATCTTCCGTCTCTTTCCCTCCGGACAATCCGAGAGCCGGCTTGGCCAAGCCGACTCTTGGATTGTCCAGTGGGAAGGATGACCTGGGCCCTTGGATTGCCCAGGGTCATTGAGTTTCGGGAACGGACGGGGAGGGGTGGCGAGGAGGAGCAGCAGCAACAGGCAAAGTAACAGCAGGGGTCGAGGAGACGGGGGAGGAGGAGGAGGAGGAGCAGCAGCAGCAGCAGGGGAGGTAGGAGGAGGAGGAGGAGCAGGATGAGGAGGAGGAGGAGGAGGAGGAGGAGGCGATGACATTCCCCGTGCCTCACTTCCCCCAAGCCTGAGCCGCGCCTCGCAGGTGTCGAAGCAGGCCCATGCTGATGCCGTTGTCCGAGGCGTTCGGGTCGCAGCGCGCGGCCGCCGCGATCGTAGCCAAGACCGTCTCGCTGACCTCGCGGGCGAAGACTTTCTCCACGAGGTTGTGCAAGAAGTGAGCCAGGATCCCGAGGAAGGCGTCCGCTGGTGCGTCTTTCACGTGCTTCATGTCGTTATCGCTGAGCCTCAAGACGACGTCGCAGAAGTTCTCCCTGAGGCGCTGGAAGACGGACTGCCGCTCCTCCAGATGATCTCGCATGTTGTAGAGCTTGTCGGATATGTTGGAGGCGTTCTTGTTGCCGACGATCTCGCCCACCTTTCGGGCCTGGCTGGCGACGCGGATCATGTGGAGGTTGAAGCCCCGATGCCTCGAGGAGGATTCCCAATGCTTCTCCCAAGCGTAGGTGATCTCCAACTTCTCGTTCATATCCGCGGCCTGCTCGATCACGGCCTGCGGGCCCCTGCGGCGGCGCTTCTGCGGTCGTTCGCCATCCTCTCCGTCGAGCTCCTCGCCCCCATCTCCGCTGCCTAGGGGCTCCTGCGACTTCGGTACCTCAGAGCGGGCGTCCAGAACCTCGCGCAGTCGCCTCCTGCCTCCAGAGACGGACGGGGCCGCACCGCTTGGTCGCCATGGCGTGCAGATCTGGCTAGCTGAGTCCGTCAAGCCGCTGACTGAAGACACGCCGTCATCCTCGCGGCTGGG